ATCAAAGGCACTGTCTGCGATAACGAGCGTAGGTGTTGACGGTGAAATGTGGAAGGGAAGTTGCCAAGTGACTCGTCTGCGGTGGGAAAATGCTGAAATGATCGTCGGAAACACTAATATGGCTTCCCTTCTGCCTCTAGCAGTAGCAGGGTCAATTGCAAAAAAATAATAAACCCTATGACCCTATAAGAAATAATGTAGCGTCCGCTTCATGCTACTTGTCCAGAAGATCGCTTTCGGCTGGAAGGCAGGCTTTGGAGGGGGTCTCGAGACGGAGTCTCTGGAAAAAAGGGAGGTATCACTGGAGCAATTTCGCAGCATTCTATCCTACTATATATAATCCTAAGTGTGTGTGTGTGTGTGTGTGTGTGTGTGTGTGTGTGTGTGTGTGTGTGTGTGTGTGTGTGTGTGTGTGTGTGTGTGTGTGTGTGTGTGTGTGTGTGTGTGTGTGTGTGTGTGTGTGTGTGTGTGTGTGTGTGTGTGTGTGTGTGTGTGTGTGTGTGTGTGTGTGTGTGTGTGTGTGTGTGTGTGTGTGTGTGTGTGTGTGTGTGTGTGTGTGTGTGTGTGTGTGTGTGTGTGTGTGTGTGTGTGTGTGTGTGTGTGTGTGGTGTGTGTGTGTGTGTGTGTGTGTGTGTGTGTGTGTGTGTGTGTGTGTGTGTGTGTGTGTGTGTGTGTGTGTGTCCCAGCAGCGCTGAATTCATAGGCGAGCGTCGCAGGAAAAGATAGGATGGCAGTTCCAAGAAGTGATATACATGGCAGGACGGGAACACTTTAGGTGCGTGACAGGAGGTGATAACACTTGATAAGATTCGATAAGGGGCCTTAGAAGGGGGGGGGGTGACCAACATCTAGCGCAATTTGCAGCAGCTGCAGGACCGTGATTTCAAGAAGTGATATACATGGCAGGACGGGAACACTTTAGGTGCGTGACAGGAGGTGATAACACTTGATAAGATTCGATAAGGGGCCTTAGAAGGGGGGGGTGACCAACATCTAGCGCAAGTTGCAGCAGCTGCGGGACCGTGATTTCAAGAAGTGATATACATGGCAGGACGGGAACACTTTTGATGGGTGACACAGGTAGGGTCTGGTCATAACACTTGGAAATGAAAATTTCGATAGAGGGCCTTAAAAGCAGAGGCGTAAACCGACAATTCGTGGCTCGCAAAGTGTGGCCAGGCAACAGGCGGGACTGATGATTTCAAGTACTGATATAATCGCGCGCTAGGGTTGGGGCTGACAGGAGAGCTCGAAGTAACAGTTGATAAGAATGACGGTAGCGGCCCATACGGAAAGGGAAGGGTCATCAGATTCGTAACGCAGGTTACAGCAACAGTGGGACCTCTGATCCGAGAGGCGATACAGGGTGATATGATAGTGATACGGGACGGGAGTGTTATTGGCGGGTACGGAAGTGATAGGAGCTAAAATTGACAAGGTAGCATGGGGAAATCCGCTTCACCGCTCACAGCAACAATGCGATCGATATGACTCAAGTATATACGGAATCTCAGGTGTGTGGTCATTCTATCGTTGGGTCGTGTCGCGCCATGTGGTAGGAGGAGCCGAGGGTTTGGCGGCGGCCGCTGCGTATCGTGTTTTGTTTGCGTGTACGTTCAATTGATTGTTAAAAGCGGATGATCCCTTTGCGAATAATTTGCGCGGCCAGCAGGCAATCATAAAATCATCCAATAGTCAGTGTCTTTCATTTATGGTCGAAGATGGGTGTGTTAGTGCCTGTTGTTGTTGGACGATAGGGGAAGTGTCCATTGTGTTTTGTGAATTTTCTCTATGTAGGTGACAAAGAGAATGCATTTCAGGATATCCGCTAAGCACAGTGATCGGCGAAGCTAATAGGCTGGGAAGGAGAACGTTCCCTTGTTAAGGAATGATCAGCGAGGGCAGATCTATTTGGAAGGAGCAGACGATGGCAAGCCTACGCATCGTGAAAGTGTAGACGATGCTAGCGGGACGCACACAACAGGTTGGTTCTTCGGATGGAGTAATTGCTGAAGTTATTGTGCGTGGATATTGTTTTCTTCAGTCTGGCCTACTATATTATCCATCGCGATGCTCAAGGGAGTGGACGATCAATATGGTGAGATCACAGCTTGACTTGCAGCCAGGGCTGCGAGACAGCTTTAATGGTGGGGAGGTGCGAAAATTGGTGTCTAGCCTGGCGAATCGACCCCTCGATCAATTGAGGTAGGGGCTCCAGAGGTCATCGTTGTCATCCACGTGATCTTTCAGCATGCAGCCGTCAGAATAATCAATAAAATCGAAGGAACCAACGAGTGTAGCGCAAATTCTCAAAAATATACTGAAGGAAAGTGTGCACTTATTAAGTAGTAATCAGGAAATGCTCGCGTCCTTCAATATTCAACTTTCGCACCAAATGCTACGAAATGGCCTCTGGAAATCTGTAAGTGAATTCTACACTGGAAGGAATGGGTTCAGCAACCATCGCCAAACAGAGACACACTTTTTCTTTATCAACAAATCCTTCTCGCATATCTGCTAATAATGACCTGCGCTCCTTCTATAATACGGGCTGTGAGAAAGGGTGCACCTTCTCTCACCCCCGTGAATAAGAAGATCAGGCTTATTACCTGTATGGACTCAAGGAACCTCCTCTAAAGTTGTATTCACCGTTGAAGTTATCGCTGCCAATTGTTCTCTCTGATATGTCTTCTCCTGAGTTTTACTCTTACCTTAACATCACTGCTTCCCCCTCACCTTTAACTGAAATGGTCAGCCCTTTACGATTATATGTATTGCATCTATATTCCCACCTTACGTGTACCCCTCTGCAACGATCACATCTTCGTACTACGTTGATCGGTTTTCATTCTATAGTCTCCCCTGCACTAACACTTTCACAGAATTAGACACTGCCTCATGTTTTTCCCTTTCCCTGTACCGACAACCACCTTTTTCTATGGCTGAAACTCACCCCACATTATCCCCTTTGTACCAGCACTATCGTATTACATCAGCTACATCAGCAATGCTCCCCTGACCCCTTCAACTCCCCTTGCGAAAAAAGAATCCTACTGCAGGAAAATGTCACGCTACGTGACTGAAAAAGTACATAGCAACAATTGGGCTTTTATTTTTGCTTTCATGTGGTCTATTGTTGTTGTCTCGCTTCTGAGTTTATTGACCTTTCTGCTTGTGAAGATAGCAGGACGACAAGATGACCTGTCAGCCCTCGCTCGTTAATGAGGTCACTTCGCAGTTAGGCACCAAGTTTTCGCACCTCATTAAAGTTGTCTCGCTGCCAAGGTGCCAGCCACCTCTTAATTAGGTGCGATCGTACCAATTATGGCTAACTCCGATCTCAACAATCAGGTGCGACAGTCATGTGCCGTGTATGTGACGAGCAAATTGAACTCAACGGTCGTGACAACCAACATGTTGTGAACTGCAGTGGGTGTCACGAAGCTACACCAATTCGTCCGGCTCCTGATGGCATGAAGTATGTTGAACGTTTCCGTAACTTATTTCAGTTGTATCAGTAATTTTGTAAGCTTAGTTGTTATACGTTGGACGTAATCTTAAGTAACTGTGATCCCTAACTTTCAGATATGTACGTTGCCCATGCAACTGTCTTCTAATTTGCGAAGTAGCATCCACACGTATTGCATGCCCACGCGGAAACTGTCGCCGTGTAATTACTCTTGGTGAGAGGCTATGTTCTGTAATCCTTCAACTTTTTTCTACCAGATCATCTCGTTCGAAAACCACTTTCTTAAGTGCATTTATTTCCAGGACATCGCGAACCTCAAGGAAGCGCTATTCGTGCACCAGCTAGCAGTTGTCGTGTCCAATGTGTTCACTGTTCCGAAATATTCGACACCTTGAGCAATTATCTGGCGCACTGCCCACATTGCAAGAAGAAGTGTGTTTTTTCTGCTCTTGTCCTATTTTTCATTGTTTGCATGCATTGAGAATTGCAGAATTTGGATGGCGAAATTCCCCACCCTTCTCCCCTTACCCCAAGTGAAGTTTCCAAATCTCATTTTACCTTTATCCGAAACGCCGCGCAGGCAAAAGGGATTGATCTTTTTTGTGATTCCTGCCTATGGCTATGAGCTGCACTTTCAACGTATTTTGTTGAGCACCCTTATTTTCTGAAGTTTGCTCATTCCAGTATTTCCTAGTGTAATTGCCATTGCTCAGTCATATGATTTATCATGTGAAGGGATGTAGTGACAATAGGCGCGTTCACATGCGCGTGATCCTAGGTTCAAATCTTATTTCGAATCCCAATTTCTTTCGTATCATGAGTTGTGGTTGCACGAACAAATGTTATAGTTATATCTGAAAATACAGTGCACATGAATTATTGAGGTGTGATTATTTTGGTTGTTTCTGGAATTTGCCGCGTGGAATTCCTGCAATGGTTCATTCATAGAAGTAGAACATTTTGAAGAGCACGAAATCGCGTTGCTGTATTGTTTTCATCTCTCATATCTCTTTTTTTAGCTCATGGCTGCTCCTATTCAGCTACATGCGTTTAATAGTTTTTTTTCAGTAATTCTATAAAGCGAGGGGCTGAAGATTACGAGGAGATGGACACGACAGCGTTGGACAGTTCTCAAACAATCGACCAAGACTACAGCAGTTTTTTGCCTTTGGAGTGAGTTTACATCAACGTCAACGTTGCTGCAGATCTTTTACACATTCATATGTTTTGATTCGTGACAGTATCCAAGAATGAGGTAGTGGGGCTTGATTTTTCGGCCTTATTAGCGATAACTGTCCTTGTTTTTTGAATCAAGCTGGTTTCTCACAGTCTCGCAGGGAATTTTGAGCAAAAAAAGTAGGCGGGGTGGTGTACGATTGAAACAAATAGAAGTGGCGTTTCAGTGGCGGAGCTTTTTGAACCAGTTGATTTGAATTGATCAGAATGTGCTTGATCAGTGAGGAATGTATTATGTTCTCCTTGCTCGAATTAGGTTTGACTGCTACAGAGTTACTTTCTCCAGGAAAGAAGAAGACCAGGCTGGCCAAGGCGGGTTTCGATCCGCAGCAGGTGACACCTCTTCTTGCCACTGCGGCTCACCCAGCCGCCCTCGTCGAAAGGTAAACCTCACGGGCGAATTGTTTAGTGGAGCTCTGGAGGAAAGTAAGCAAGGAATTCACAAGGTTATAAGATACTCGATACCAGGTACATCAGTTCGGACCTAGCTGGGCAAGCTGTCGATCGCAATTTTTTTACAGGTCAGACCTTGTGTTATGTTTTCGAGCACCTCCGAACGACGACGCAAGGGAATGTTGTGTATCGCTGCACGGGATGCCGCAAGAGTGGGAAGACCGTGAGCATTGCGGTAATGCGAATTTGAAGCTTGTTCAGCATTTCGTTGATTCATAGAGTTTCAGGTGGTCAATGAATACAACCTAGTTGGCGATCCCGTGCACCTGCCGCACATCTGCATGCCATGGAGGAATTCAAAGGAGAAAGTCGAGCGTATGGTATTAGAGGTAGCACATGACACTCAAGGGTTTTAGCTGCGATTACAATGATTGTTCCATTTATAATGCTGTCTGTTGCAGACTTGCCATGAAGTTCCGAAGGCAGTTCGCTTTGCGCACGTTAAACCACGTCAAGTATACCAGCAGGTGTTGCTCAGAGTTCAAAATAGTGACGTTTCTGGTAAGTAGCTTGTATATATCCATTGAACACAGGCCTGAGTTTCATGTTTCGCCGTATTTAGGTGAAAGGGAGCGAGACGAGATGCTTGGTTTTTTCGTCCGTGATGGTTACGAGTCACGCCGATCAGTATTTGCAAGGTCTGCATTAACTTATAATGCCAACTAGAGGTTAATGAAATGAGGTAAACATTCAGGGCAACTGCGAAACTTCACGATAGGCGGGTCACGATGGACAACGTGCCGCCGGAGTACGCTTTTTTGGAGGAGGGAACGTCCTTCTTGCAGCACATGAGCCCAGACCTGCACATTTATTACTCTCCAGATGTTATAGCAGTGAGTTTTACGTTAATGTACTTTTTTTTCTCGCGATCTGATTCCAATTTCATGTTTCAGAAGGCCTGTCGTTTGGGGCTTCGTGCCTTGGTTGCTGATGGGGTCCACGACCTTCAGCCGCAGATCACAAACAAGCGTGGGCAACTTTACACCGTGCACGGAGTGGCGCCAGGCCTCAGGGATTTCCCCTAGCTTTCGCGATTGCATTAAGGTGAGATTCTGCTAGCTTGATATTGGAATGGTTTTGGTGCATCTTTTTCTGTTACTGTTTTGCTGTGGTTCCAGGAAAAACCAACGTATTTATGAGCGGATCTTTCAAGCAGTGAGGGATGCCATCATCGCAGCTGGCGGACCAGAAGACATACGAATTGTATTGGACTTTGAGAAAGCCGCCATTAACGCGGCCAGGAGGTGCTTCCCAAGCGCATCAGTAGAGGGGTGCGCTTTCCATTTAGCGCGCGCGTGGAACAAGCAAAGAGATGATCTTGGGTTGCTCCCGCAGGTAAGGGGGACCCAACGGTGTAGGAGGATTGAAAGCTGGTGGAACACTATAAAGGGGCTCATCTTTTTACCACCAACCTACACCGACGGGTCCCTGCGCGCTTCAAACCACCTGTTCCTAGGGGACATAGCGCGTATGATTTTGCGTGCAGTTTCTCGACTACCTTCAGCGCCATTGGTACGAGGGCCCTTTCAGGGACATGTGGAACAAATGGAACAAGAAAAGTCTCCGCACCACTAATGTAGCCGGAAGCCTTCAACAGGTTTGTTCGTGACGGTTATGAAACGCTTTCGTGTCTCATAATATCTGGTGACTTTCAGAGAACTTGGAGTTGTGCTTGGAGTGAGGTATCCCCCTATGGCAGACCTCATTATCGCACTGCACGGCTTTGTGGGGAAAGGCAAGAGGAACACCTCGACCACGGCTGACCGGGTCAGTTTTCACTCCAGCTGTTACCTACATCTCCTTCCCAACACTCATTATTTGCAGAGGAGAGCAGAACCGAAACGTGTTCGCCCAGAGGATGTCCAGCGACGTCGTCGCGTATCCAGAGAGATGGCCCGCTTCAAAATCGTCCTTCGCCGCAACGCCTTCATTCGGACCACAACGATAACCACTTACTGTCGAAGAATGTCCGAGTTCATCACCGAACAGTCGCGTACATAAAGGGTGCGTCTTCTTTTCTCCCACATTTCGATCTTCTCTTTTCTCTCTCTATTCATTTAGCTTTCTCTTCTACGATATTATATCGTAGAAGAGAAAGCTACATATCTACTGATACAGTGGCATGACTTACATTCAGGAGCGCCAGAGTACTAACAGTATCAAAAAAATGCTGCTGAGAAACCTGTGAGCTGGATGACCGGGGCATGTTTTTTCTGTTTATCCTGTCTTGTTTCTGTATATCCTGCATTGTTTTTGCTATTATAGAAGCTTTACAGATGGTTTTCTGGGCGGTTTGTTGATATGTTGTTTGTTAACATGTTTGTTAATAAGTTGATTGTTAACATGTTTTTCTGTTTATCGCACTTCTCGCTTGTTTTTTCACAGTCGTTTGTCAAATAGGTTGTGTTAGACACATCGCTAGACCTTGTTATTGTGAGAGTTAGACGATATTGCACCGGGTATGATCAAATCAAATGTACGAGTTTCTCCTGTTAGGTATATACTTGAAAATTAGTTAATGATAGCTGATAAAATCATCGTAGGACGTTTACTTGTATATCCATTACATGAAAAAAGCCAA